GAGCTACATTTTCTTGCTTCCTGGGGTGGGGGGAGGGGGGTGTTAGTAATCTTTAATTAAATCCAGGACACTGGGCCTTTTCCATTGTTGATTATCTTATTGTCTTCTTCGATGGGGTGTTAAGCTTTGTAATGACAGTCAGTTAAGAAAACTACAGTTTAACATCATTTGTCAAGTCATTCATAAAGCTTTCATATAAGTATAATAGGACAAGTTTAGCCATAATCTCAAGGCTTGACCCCTTTGGGTGCCCTTGTCAGATTTCCAAGTGTGGATAAGGATTGTTCATGGTAGCTAATGGGCACTTAGGTGAGTCCTGATCTTGCTTTCCGTCAATCTTTTATTAGACACATAAAGTGGTTAAAATATTCCATAAAGAAACCTGATTGAATTCCAGCCTCTATAAAGATCATCACATTTAACCATCTATTGAGTCAGCTTAGTCTTACAACCCTCTTGGCAGAGATGGTTTGCGAGGAACAGGTCTAGATAGCCTTTTCAGATCCTCTTTACAGGGACCTGCATTGCAAAATAACTGGTTTTTCTGCCCCTGAGCAAGGAATTCGGATACAGGTGCCCCGAGTTGCAAGTCACGAGAAGGGGGGGGTCAGACCAGATAACCAGATGTTTCTCACAAGACCCATGTCACAAGACCCAGGAGTGCCCTAAAAACCAGGACGTTCCTAAGCACTGACGCAAATGTTGATCTTTGAACTATAGGCTAAGGAGTGATGTACTTTTTAATGGACTGGTTAGGAAAGTATGTGTTGTTACAAATCTATTGGCTATGAAATGTGCGGGCTCTGCTGTAACAGCTGGTGAAGGCCTATATAAGAGCTCCTTTGGAGAAGCTCAGGGTCTTGCCCAACCTGCTGGACCTGTGTGTCTGCGTAAGTGGCTCAACCCTGCCTAGGCAATCTTACAATAAACCCTGCTTGCTGTTTGCAGTCTCTGGAGTCTCTTTGTTGTTAAAGGGAGATCTCTAACCGTGCCCTAACAGGTTGAGATGTGATTCTTTAAAGTAAGATCAGATGCACAGAATCACACAGCTGAATCACTGAAAAGCCACCCGAGTAGCAGCAGTTTCGTTACTTTATCTGTTGGAGGGGTGGGATCACACTGATGCTCAGGTGGGATCACACTGATCACACTGATTCCTGGCAGGGCTCAGGAATCTAACCCAAGTAAGCCATGTGCCAGGCAATCACTTTAGCTCTTGGATCATCTCTCCAACCATTATGAAAAGATTTTTGATTATTTTTTTACTTTTGATTTTGATTTTTTTAATCATAGAGGCATGATTAAATAGGTAGCTGAATTTTATCATTGTGTTTATTATGCCTTACATAGTATTTTTAGAAGAAATCTCCTTTGCCTTACACATTTTTCTTATAAATTTTTCTTGCCTTTCTATTAGAAATATTATAGATTTGGTAATTATTCTGGTGCATTTACTTTTTTATTCATTTACTCTATGTTATAGTGTCTGCTATGAGGATTATGCCTCATAAAATTCAATCATTAATTGATGATGACAGTTCTTTGACTTATAATTCCTAAGAGAGCATCATACATGTAAAGATTTTTAATGGGAGGGTAAGGAAAAAATGACTGCTTGGGGGGGAAAGCTTTATATTTGAATTAAGCATTTTATAAAGTCCTTATTAATAAGTCCTTAGTGGAAGTAAGCAGACAAATTTAGAAAAACTTGTCTTTTTTCCCTTAACTCCTTATTGCATTGAAAAATGATGTTTTGATATAAGGCCCAATTTCCACGAACATCTATCAACTCTTGGTTCATTGAAATAGCAATATAAATCATTTACTACATCACTGAACTAACAGAATGTTTCATCACTAACTTGTTCAGAAATTCTCACTCCTGGGTGCGCATATGCGCACGCGCGCACACACACACACACACACACACACACACACACACACATACACACACACACACACACACACGATTCCCTAAGGAAATTTAAGCCCACACCTTAACCTTCTCAAAACTTTCCTTTCTCAAGAAGACATTTATATCAGGCAAAGCCAATGACACTGGTTATGGGAGTGATTCCAGGTCAAAAACTGAGTTGAGTGTGAAGACAGAAGAAAATGATTGCCTCTTAGAAGTATTAATCACTTCCTAACAGTCTGCCTCAACAGCTCCATTTTTATAGCTCTCTGGTAAATTCTGTTTCAGACTGAAATGATTCTGTTAGAGATATTCCAATTGGTTATAGGCATCCTGAGTTTTTGGTACTCAACCTAGAACCGCAAAAGTAACCTTGAGAGCTGAGAATCAGGAACAATGGAGTCCACCTTGATTTTGATTGGAATGCAAACACAATGTTATTAAAAAAGATCATGCCAAAGGCATAGGATCAAAGGTCAATAATGCCTTTGAGTTGGAGAGAAAAGATTGCAACAGGAGATAAGCTCTCTACTCAATGCTGAAAAATAGAATAAAAACAGGAGTTCTGCACTGCCTCTCACTTAACTGATCATTGTAGTTCTTAATAGTCTTTATTTTAAACCCTAAGAGTGAGTTGAAATCATGGTCTCCATCAGTAGAATCTGCAAATAGATGTTTGGAATTACAAGTGATCAGGCGAGCCGTGGCTACTTGAATGGGGAATGGTTAATATCCACGTGGTGAGCTTGGTCATAGCCTGTGTTTCCTCCAGTTCCTGCTCTTAGCTCTTGTTCCTGACCATCTACTCTCAACACTGAAGGTAGAGTCACTCAACCACAGTGTCAGATTATGTTGCAGTGTTTCCTTCTGGAAGGAAAAGTCAATGTTATTCCTCAGAACCATGGGGCTCGGTGGCGATAATCATCTTCCTTGTGAACATGAAGCCGCGAGTTTGATTCCTGGTGCCATCAACATGGGCTTAAGTCCAGTCCCACTAGTTTGGGGCCACAACCGGAAGTGTGACTGTCAGCACACAACCAGGTGTGCACAAGCACTGTAGTGAAGGTGTGTGAACCCCCGGAAAGTACCAGGGTCGAGTTGAGTGTGAGAGCAACCAGATGTGAGGGCACCACAATAGTAGAAGCTAAGGGAAGGAAAGGGGAAAGAAGTAAAGTCAGTAGGCCCAAGGAAGGGAGTTGGTCAAGAGGGGTCCTTTCTCAGTGAACTGATGGAAAAGAGAGTTAATTTTTTTTTCTTTTGAGTCATACCCTGTGATGCTCGGGGGTTGCTCCTGGCTCATGCACTCAGTAATTACTCCTGATGGTGCTCGGAGGACCATATGGGATGCTGGGAATTGAACCCGGGTCGGCCACGTGCAAGGCAAATACCCTACCCGCTGTGCTCTCGCTCCAGCCTGGGAGTTAATTTTCTTTAAATGGTTTAAAAGAGTTTCAAGGTATATCTTATCTCCCCATGTGTATTAGTTCTCATATTAAATCTGAACTGGAGAGATCAGACAGCAGGTAGAGCATTTGCCTTGCATGGGGCTGACCCGGGTTCCATCCTCTGTACTCCCTCCATCTGGTCCCCCTGAGCCTTGCAGTAACACAGAGCCCAAGAGCAAGCCCTGAGCACAGCATCACTGGGTGCAGTCCAGAAAAGAAAAAAAAAATAAAAAAAGATACTTTGAAACCTGCTTTACAAGAATGCTTCAGTTGTGAACCCCGCTATCATGTCGAAGCATATGGTTCTCTCCTTCTGCCTATTGCGCTAGTCATTTCTGGGAAATTTCAGACCATCTGGGGAAGAGAAGGGATTCATTTTCTGTTATTTGATGGGTTTCGGGAGAAGGCAAGTGATGTCATATAAGGTAGAGTTTGGGAGAACTGTGCAGGCAGACTGAAAAAGAAATCTGCGAACCGCTTTTTCCAGTTAACCCAGAAGGAAATGGGCTCCACAAAGCAGAGAGAGCGGCACCGAGGGGAGCAGAACGTTTACAGGAAACAGCCAGTCTAGCAAATGGGCTCCCAGCGCCCTGTGGAGAACAATGCAAGGGCTTTGGGATCAGGTACCTTGGTAGATTCTGTCTGTTTAGCTTGTTCCAGAATAAGCTCCCCAGGGCACCCCAGGAGCTCATTTCCTGACCCCATTTTTTTCCTTTAGAAAACAACAGGCTAATTCTGTATTGTCGGGGTTCATTTACAGCTTCAATTAGATTGCTTTCTCTTTTCTAGATTGCAAAGAAATGAAAAGAGCGAAACAGTTTTGGTTGTACTTCATCTGTGCAGAAGCCGGGAAAACAAAAATCACAAACAAAAAAAATATTGTTTTTAAAAAAGTTGGACGGGGCTGGAATGATAGTATAGTGGGTAGGGCATTTGCCTTGCACACGGCCAACCCGAGTTCGATTCCCAGCATCCCATATGGTCCTGAGTACCACCAGGAGTAATTCCTGAGTGTATGAACCAGGAGTAACCCCTGAGCATCGCTGGGTGTGACCCAAAAAGCAGAAAAAAAATCCAACCCCCCCAAAAAAAACCCCACAAACTTTTGAACCATAGCCAGCAGGCTCAGAGACTATTCCAGGCTATGTTCAGGGATCATTTGGAGGACCCTATGTGGTATCAGGGATGAAGCTGGGTGGCCAGTGGGCAAGGCAAGTGTCCTGCAAACTGTTCTATCACTTGGGCTCCTCCAAAATCTTTCTGAAGCGGTGTCTTCGTGCAAGGCAGATGTTTGTCTTGGATGCGTCCTACTTCAGCTCAATCTCCAACCCCACCTACGCTTCCCCGAGCACTGCCAGGAGTCATCTCTGAGCCCAGAGCCAGGAATAAGCCTCTGTACAGTCAGGTGTGGTCTAAAATGAACCCTCCATCAAAGAAAAACCACTTTCTTCTCCATGGGAAGGGAGGAGATAGATGGGAACCCCAAGTTCCTGTATCTGTCTCCTGTGGCTTCTGTGCTCAGAAGCTCAGTGGGATTGTCCCAGGGTTTCCAGCATATTGACCCAGGAGAAGACAAGGGCGGGGACACCATGAGCACTGAAGGATGATGTCTCCTGGGGACTGTGGGGGACAAGGCCCTCATGACTCAGGGCTGTGTGTACTGCAGCTACAGCAGTTGGAACCTTTTCCGGGAGGCATATGCTGCCATCGAGAAAATGAAACAGCTCGACAAGAACAAACTGCAGGCGGTTGCCAACCAGACCTATCAGCAGACCCCACCACCCACCTTGTCCTTCCGAGAAAGGGTGATTCACAAGAGTCTTGTCTATCTCTGGTTCCTGTGCAGTTCTGTGGCACTTACCCTGGGCGCCCTGACTGTGTGGCATGCAGTTTTCATCAGTGGAGGTGAGACCAGCATCAAGAAGAATATCAACAGTAAGGAGCGACGGCAGCTGAATGCCAAGGATAGAGTCTTTAAGAATCATTACAACTCTGGCTGCTTGGACAACTGGAACATATTCCTGGGTGTGGACACAGGAAGGCACTGGCTTACTCGGGTGCTTCTGTCTTCCAGTCACCTGCCACATGGGAATGGACTGAGCTGGGGCCCTCCCCCTTCTCCCTGGGTGGCTGCTCACTCGACGTCTGTGATGGCTGTGTGAGCTGGAAGCATCCCCTCATCCTGCATGGTCTCAAGAACCCCTGGGGGTCTTTGGAACCCTCGAGAAAGAACAGTGGGCAGGAAGAGAGGGCACCCGGGGGATGATTTAAGGGCCGTCCCCAGGAGTGATGTAATGACAGCTGTCGTGCTGGGCCTGTCCCATCATTCTCAGTCTTCCCAGAGACCCCTGAGCGGGGGCATGTCCTCATTGTATAAACAAGGCGACAGAGTCTCTGGGAAGCCGTCCAGGCTGTGAATGATGAGCGCATGGATGGTCCCCACAAGTTGGCCTCACTGGGGCTGACCTGCTGCCTTCCAGTTCTCTGCAGATCCAGACTGGAGCCCGAGGCTGGGCCCTTCCGTGTCCTTGTCTGTGTCCCTCCCCACGGCCCCTCGTCTTCATTCTGCATCCTGAGCTGCCTGTGAGTTGTTCCCCCTCTGTGGGCCAGACCTTGGGCTGTGGGTTGGGGAAGGTGGGCCCCATTCAGCAGCCCCTCCCCTCCTCCAGGGCCTTTTGGTGTTTCCTGCTGCTTCCAGGCCTCCCCCTCTTGATATACCCCCTTCCCCCCATCCCCCAACTCCGCGTACTGCTCTGTCCCAACTCCGCGTACTGCTCTGTCCCGAGCTCCTGCGAGGGCCTGGCTCAGCTAAGCCAAGGCGGCCTTGTGCCCCAGCCCGTAGCACGCACTGTTCCGAGTGGGACGGGAGCCTTCCCTCCTGGCCCCGACTTCCTCTTCCTCTTCCTCCCAGAGAGCAGCCCCCACCTCCATGCCCCACCTCGACTTCGAATCGGGGTTCCAGAGTTTGCTCCACAGTCCCATACCTTCCCCTCACCACACCAGGCTTGTATTCTGGAGGGTTCCCAGAAGTCCCTCTGTTCTACCTGGGTGGCCAGCTCAGTGTTTCTCTCTCTCTCTCTCTCACACACACACACACACACACACACAAAATCATACACTCATACACTCATACACACACTCATACACACACACTCATACTCTCATACACTCACACACACACACACTGATACACACAGACCCACCACATTCTCTCCCTCCCTATATGCCACTCACATTCCCTAAGTCCCACAAACATCACATATCTCCCACGCATATACCACACAAAACCCACACCCCCCCCACCACATACTTACAGATCCTCTGTCCTACACTCCCTCCACACGGTCATGCCCACCCCATAACTGCTCTGACCCCTGAAATCCCACACTCACTCCTCATAACCATCACCCCCACAACCCACATTCCCCACACCTTGTATACATACCATCCACACACTTCACATACACTTCACATACATACCACATATATTACATATATATATACACACACACACTAACCCTCACATACCACATACACTCACTGCCCCATCTACGTATCACATACATACACACGTGCACTCTCTCCCCACACACCTTACACACACCACCCATGCCTCTCACCACATACACACTACACACCACATGCACACCTTGCCCCCTGCAAGTGTCCAGCCTTGCCCTCGCCCTTTCCTCTGATGCCAGTCGCATCCCCCCCCCCATTCCTCAGCACATTCCTCAGCGCCTTCCCATGTCAGATGGTGAAGAAGGGGTGAAGAGGGACAGCAGCCGGGACTGAGACAGGAAAGTAGGAGTGGCCCACGATGGCCGTGTTCTCCATCTGGCCATGTCACTGAGAGACCCCGCATGCTCTCTGCCCCCTCGTTCTCTCTTCTGTGTTTGAGAGAGAGAACATCCAGTGAATCCCAAAGCCCACCCCTGAGATTCTGTGGCTCCACGCTACGTACAAAGCATGCTGGGAAATGAACCAGCTCTTCTGAATGATGATCCTCAAAGAGATCAGTAGGAGGGCGTTTGGTCCAATTATTATTGCACAGCCACTAAAAGCACTGTGTTACGGGGAAGATTAATGACATGGATCAACTTGCGGGAGAGACTTCCAAAACCAATGATTTCAACTTAAAAAATAAAAATCGATGTAAGTAGGAAAACCCTGATATTCATCAGTTTCTATTTCTGCTCTTAATTTTTTTTTGGTTTGGGACCATTCTTGGAAGTGCTCAGGGATCACTCCTGCGGGGGGCAGGGGGGCTTGGGGGACCATGCAGGGTGCTGGGGAGCAAACCTGAGCTGGCACGGGCATGGATGATCTTGCCAGTCGAGGCAGAGCCTACCTCTGGATGACAAAACCGATTCTTATTTTATTCCTAATATACATTTTTTCCCTGTTCTTTCAAAGCTTGAGAAAATCCGTTCCAAACCCTTTGATTCCTTCTCGTGGCCTTTTATATCTAAATCTGAGTCCAATGGTGAAAACTTGATGCCACTTAGAAGTTGGCAACCCTGCAGATCCAAATCTCTCCATGCCCTTTCATGGCTAATATTTATGAAAATCCTTGTGATTATCACAGAATTAGATTCATAAATGATATAAATATAGAATGCTGTAATGATAAATAAAAGACAACAGAAAAGAACATAAATGTGGATAAAATAGGCCTTATCTTAAAAAACAGCTGGAGCGATAGCACAGCGGGTAGGGCGTTTGCCTTGAATGCGGCCGACTCGACCCATCCAGGTTCAATTCCTCCGCCTCTCTCTAAGAGAGCCCGGCAAGCTACCGAGAGTATCTTGCCTGCATGGCAAAGCCTGGCAAGCTACCCATGGCATATTCAATATGCCAAACACAGTAACAATAAGTCTCACAATGGAAACATTAGTGGACCCACTAGAGCAAATCAATGAACAACAGGAGGACAGTGCTACAGTGCTATCTTATAAAACAAGTGCCTCAATCTCACTGCACTTAGATGGATCCCACAGTGACATCTCTCTGACATGCTTTCACAAAGGAAAGCATGTGGCTTTGGCAGGTCCCAAGAGGGCTGTGTCTGAGAGGAGCATGGAGCAAGTCCCACTGACCACCTGGTTGTCACACTGGGATCTTGCCAGTGAAGAAAAGCTCTCAGTTAGTGCTCAGGGATCAAACCTGGGTCTTGTAAAATCTTAGTATGCTGAAGATTGTGTGTTCGCGGGCTCTCTGGATGGTTCTGTCTCACCGCCTGCATTCGGTGATCTTGAGCCCTGTGTGTGGCCTGGATCAGGATGGCTATTCTCTCTCTCAAGCTTGAGTCCCTCTCATTCTGACTCTGACTCTGGATCTCTCTCACCTGGGCCTATAGTCTTAGTTTATATAGCAATCACGTAAGGTGGTGACACAAAGGTGGGTTGAACATTAACAAATCAACAAAGAGAGGTAAGACCACTCCTCCAGGAGATTAACTCAAGGATAAAATCTCATCTAAAGAGATTACTCCAGATTACTAGGAGATCCACTCAAGGGTGGGATCCCAACAAGGGTGTGTTCTTCCCTCAGTTAGTAATCTACTTAAATAGTTGTAATAAATCTACTTCTAATATTTCTAGCAATGTCATTCTGCATGAGCACAGTAAGAGATATAAACTTAGTTTGGTTCTTCCTGAGAACATCTCACTGTACATTCTGCAGTCCTCAGGCCAAGGTTAGTCATCCTAGCCCCAGCAGGCTCCTAGTCTCGTCGTTGCTTTTGGATCATGACAGCATTTGTCCATGATCATGTCCTCAACTTATAGTTGAGTATTGTCGCACTTTGGCCTGGCCCATTTCGATGCCAGGGTAGCTCATAACTTGCCCTGGGTCCATTCAGTCCCTTGTCGGGACCTTGCTTTTGGGGTGCTAGGAACTAAGGGCAACTGAGTCAAGAAAGCAGATGCCCAGGAGTAAATATTACTTGGAGTCAATCAACTCCCAAGTTACAAAGCATAATATTAACTGTCTTCCTGTGTCCATATAGAAAGGACATTGCTTTAAGGTAAACTATTCAAAAGACATATGGATAGGAGAAAGGCAATAGTAACTTATAATACAAATTCAGTGCCCTGGGATGGGTGTGACCCGATAAACGGAGGGACAAAACAGTGTTATCCTACAGGGTCTCTTATACGCAAAGCTGATCTCACAACCTTCGCTCTACCTCACTAGCTCATTTCCTCTGTCTTGAAACAGAAGAGCATTCTTCAAAAGAAGCCTTCAGTTATGTAAAATTGATTGGTTTTCTTATTCTTGGGTTGGGGGGGACATACCTCGGGTTACTCAGGGTTTACTCCTGACTCTGCACTCTTTACATAAAATTGAAAAGCAGAAACCATGGGATTCAGCAATACCATTCCAAAGAAGTTACTGAAAAGATATGATAATGCTACTTTTAAAAGATGCACACTCCACCCAGTTGTGGATGATGGCACAAGACTTAGGTGCAGAGACATGGAGACAAGCTGAGTACCCACCCAGGAGAGAATGGATGAAGATACTCTGTGCTATGGTGTATCTAAAGTAAGTAAAGGCCCTCCCGTTGATCATCGATTTGCTCGGGCGGGCCCAGTAACGTCTCCATTGGAGACTTTGTTGTTACTGTGTCTGACATCTCAAATACCTCACGGGGAGCTTGCTAGGCTCTGCCATGCGGGCGAGATACTCTCGGTAGCTTGCCGGGCTCTCCAAGAGGGGTGGAGGCATCGAACTCGGGTCGGCCATGTTGGCTGCGTGCAAGGCAAACGCCCTACCGCTGTGCTATATTCAATGGAAAATGATGAAGTTATGCAAAAGATGCGGTAGCAACTTTGGCATGTCACATGATAGAATGGAGGCATTGATGTTGAGTGAAATAAACCGAAAAGTGAAATATAATTAGCAGTGGGTTTTACTCATATATGGAATATGGATGAGCAAAGCAAATGAGCAAAAATAATGAAATAGCTCCTAGATTCTGCAAAAAACCAAAACAATGGTTATCAGAGGCAGAAGGGATGGGCAAGGTGAGGGTGGTCGAAGAGGCCAATCTAACAATGAGACAGTGCTAGAACTTTGGTGTTGAGTGCAGTGACTTAGGTATAGGTAGAGGCATGACTTTGTACTTGCAAATCCACATAATATTATTTTACTTTATTGGTTTTAGGGGTCACAGCTGGTGGTGCTCAGGG